GGCTTCCACTTGGTGTTGCTGCGGTAACATTCAGCGCAGGCTTCGAGTGTTTCGCTTCTAGCTCTTCGAACCGCGTTTGGTAGTCTTCGTTGTTACTTTGTTCTTGTATAAATGAAGAGAAACATCTTCGCAGCTCTTCGACTGTTCCTGTCTGTTTGAGGCCGAACTCTGCCATATAGGTCAGCAGCTCCTCTCGGTTGAGGTAATGTATCCACTTTCTCTTCACCATTGTTTTTTTCCACACTTCTTTTTTTGTCACTGGACCGCCTACTAGTAGTTCTTCGGGTGGTCACTGCACTTTGTGTCTCTCTCACTTGTGCCCTTATTGCTTCTTAAATTTGGGTCTTCCGGGTAGTCGCTGAACTCAGTGTCTCTATCACTTGTGTTCTCTTTTTTTCACTTCACTTTTTTCCCACGGCACTCTCCTTATGTTTGTTTCATTTAGAGTCCCTGCTCGGACGCCATTTGTAACGGACTTTCCTGAGTGCTGGGCGTAGCTCTCGGTTGTCCAGGGTCCTGTAAGGAGTAAACACCCTATCTCCTCAAGAAATTAGAACACACTCGCTTCTAGTTTACAGCCTCTTTATTCGCTATACTCGCTATATCTACTCTCTAAAGTATAAAACTAGAGTAGGTTTAAACCCTACAGCTAGCACCAGTCTCAGTGGCTAAAGCCCACTTCGAATATACAATAATAGTCTCGGAGGGTGATCCCTCTTCCACTACCCGTGTAACCCACGTTGCGACGCGTGCCACGTATGCCTAGCTAATGAACAATGTTTGTTAGCACTGCTCCTTTTATACCATTTTTGTCCATCCGCAGACAGTTATCCTCATTACAATTGTTTGTGCTTTTACATTTTATGTAGTTATTGTATGTTGTAGGTATTTCTTATACTGTGCATACAAAGTAATAATTCAAAATATATTAGTGGATACATACATACGTACTAGTATAATCCAAATAGATGCAATTCAATAAGCTTATGTACATGCATATATATAATAATTCAAAACATAAGTGTACATATATATATATTTGTACATGTGTGTATACAATTTCAAATCAACAATTCAGGGTAAATAGTACAAAGGATATATATGTATGTGTATATAAAAGTTGTGTGGGGCCCAGGGCCACAGGATCCGGGGTCCTCACAAGGTTTTTAAATAGTGTAAAACTTCATCGGCAGATATTACTGGAATATAAGCTGAGTTAATCGGACAGAGTTCATACGGATAGTCTCCACTTGTAGGAGAGTCTACAGAATAATTGGACTTAAAGAACTGGGCAAACATTTTGGCAATGAGTTAGCTGTCGCTAGACATAGTATTGCGATAGTGCATAGCGGACGGAAATCCATGTACCTTACCCTTTGTATTTATGATGATTTGTTAATGAAATTATTTTTAATTTTACATAAATATGCCTTATAACATTTCTTATTTAACGCCGAAAACTGAGTACTTTATGTCATCACTGTGTAAGCCCGTTCCTTTATACAAATTAAAAGAATGAGAATTTTAATTTTTAAGTGTTTTAAGCTCTTTAGTGAACCATAATTTTGTTGGTTCTTCATGAACAATATTACGTTTTAGTACACACTTTCGAAACAAATTGAAAACAGCATCATTCAAGTGTTCAACGCTACGCTCCACGTCATCTCTATATATTGGCCAAGATAAATTTGATAGTTATTTGTTAATTTTTCTGAAATTAGCTTTCGCGAAAACATATCTAGTACTTGAACAACTTATTATTATGTATTTCATTTATTATTTCGTAGCGTAACTCAAGAGCGGGATGGTATGCATCCTCTGGCAATACTAGGGGATCACACCGATTAATAGAGGTCTTCGGAACATCATCAACATAAATGAGATCCAAGACCTTTCCAAACTTATTTGGACATATATTTATTTGTTTTAGGCAAAGTTCAACCATATCCTTCAGAAATACGTTTGGGGTATTCACGACGGTGTCGTAAGTGTCGTATTCTTGTATGTCGTAAAATTTAAAGCCTATAAATATATTACGGGGGTTCGCAAAGTACCATCAAAGTCATATTATGAATTTTCGCAGTTCAGGTTCTCTAAACATTTATTTAAGCTGTTAAAGTTTACGACATACAACAATACAACACTTACGACACCGTTGTGAATACCTTAATTGTAACTATCTTCAAATGAAACTGGTACAACATCGGTGTCAATAATGTTCCATGAAATGTGTGGCAGATTAAAATCACCCAAACAATCACAGAATGGGAAGGCGTAAGCATTGCACTTACAGACTCAAGTAAAGAAACCGGCTGTGTATATACTGATACGGCAGAATTAGGAGGGATGTAGCAAAGAGTTAAATAGACATAACTCTTACCAACCTCTACACGTATAAATTTAAATTCGGTGCAGTCAATGACAGGAACACTAGTGGAATTCGCGCTTCTGAGTAATCGCTGCATCCTGCGTAAGTGTAACTGGAAGAGCGTGTGGTTGTTGTTGCATGTGTATTTGATGTACCGCTAGCAACAACAAATCACACGCTCATGCAGTTACAATTACACAACATACAACGAATACACAGAAGAGCGAATTCCCCTACTAACTTCCTCGGATGGTATCTACGAATGCACCGAAAAAGAACACCACCGCCGATTATGCCCTCGCGCTCGCTCTTGTATATTTCATATTCATTTGGAAGAATTTCGGAATTAGAAATATGAGGTTTGAGCTATGTTTCAGTCGAGGAACTAATATTATAATTGCAGTCAAAACCTTTTAAATATAAGTCAGTTAATTTGGTATTCAAACCTATACCGTTTTGATAGTAAATACTTAAATTAGACTTGCGAGTTAGTTTTTTGAAACAGAATTAAGATGAGACATTTTAGCTACGTTGTTATTACTTTTATTAGGTTTATACTCAAGCTCGCGAACAAACGCCCCGGTCGGCCAAAATGAATTATTTAGTAGTGAATCAAAATCTTCGGCAGGTACATCAATTTTAAAAATGAAATATCGCGATCGCATTTAAAATTAAATTTACGAATAAATACATCTATAGTTTTAATTTTAGTCGATATGTATTTCTTTATGTCATCCTAAAAAGAGTCTTTAGAAAATCTAGAGACAAAGACTGATCTTCTCGGAGGAATTACAACCAACTTTTTGGTAAGAAATGTCTGCTTTGCGGTATTCCGAGTTATTTGGAGGAACTATGCTATAAGCTCAATTAAAAAAAAACCTAATCATTTAGGTGCATTTATTTTATAATATTAGGTACAATCTGAAATTTCCATTTTTCATCCCTTACTTTTACGCTTTTATTCAACGAATGAATGGTTTCTCCATATACATAAAATAGTGTTACGAGATGTACAATTTGGAGGTGGCTTACAAACTAGTTTTTTATGCTTGCCACTTAGTTTAAATAAAGTATACATTTTATAAAATTGCCACAAGTTTGCGTTTGATATTTGGTAAGTTCGCCTGCAAATCCTGTATATCAAGTTGGTTTCCTCATTTAATTTAATTTCATTCATTTGTGATGTGATCATACTATTGTGATGATACCAAAGCCCGGAAAGGACAAAACGCAGCCATCTTCATATAGGCCCATCAGCCTGCTACCGTGTATGTCGAAATTATTCGAAAAAACTTCTTATGCTGCGCATCTCCCCACATCTGCAAGCCCGCAATATAATACCACTTCACCAATTTGGCTTCAGGGAAAAACATGGAACAATCGAGCAGGTAAATCGCATAACAACCGAAATCCGAACAGCGTTTGAAAAGAGGGAATATTGCGCTGCAATATTTCTTGACGTCGCCCAGGCATTTGACCGCGTCTGGCTAGATGGTCTTATGTATAAAATACAAATGCTACTCCCACAAAGCACACACAAACTGCTTAAGTCATACCCTTATAATCGAAAGTTTGCAGTTCGATGTAACACCACCATTTCTGAAGCCCATGCAATCGAAGCTGGAGTGCCACAAGGCAGTGTCCTTGGAACGATGTTGTATGTCTTATACACCGCGGATATTCCTACAAACGACCGCCTGATAATGTCCACTTTTGCCGATGACACTGCCATAATCAGTCGCTCCAAGTGTCCTCTACAAGCAACTGTGCTCCTAGGCAATCATATGGAAGCTGTTGCCAATTGGCTCGCAAACTGGCGAATAAAGGTTAACGAGCAAAAATGTAAGCAAGTTACATTTACACTGAATAAGAGTAACTGTCCGCCCTTGACTTTAAACAACGTACAAATACCACAAAGCAATCATGTCACTTACCTAGGGGTCCACCTGGACAGGCGACTTACTTGGCGAAACCACATAGTGGCTAAAAGGACTCATCTCAAGCTGAAGGCTAATTCTCTCCACTGGCTTATTAACTCTCGCTCACCCCTGAGTCTGGAGTATAAAGTGCTTATTTACAATACAGTTTTAAAACCGATATGGACCTATGGATGTGAGTTATGGGGAAACGCGAGCAGCAGCAACATCGAAATCCTTCGTCGTGCGCAATCTAAAATCCTTCGAACAATCACCGGAGCACCTTGGTATATGCGAAATGAGAACATTCACCGCGACTTGAGAATACCAGAAGTACGAACCGAAATAGAACAACGGAAGACGAAATATGTATCGAAGCTTTTAGCGCACCCAAATCATTTAGCAAGATCTTTATTGCGTGTCAACAGGACCTCAAGACTACGTAGGAATGACTTACCAGCCCAGTCGTGATCTTTTCTTAGGGCCAGTTAAGAAAATACTCATCCCAACTAGGGGATGTAAATTAAGTGAATAGATTAAGATTCGAAAACTTATTGTTAGGCTCTTAGGCAGGGCAGATTCAATAAATAAAAACAAATTTAAAAAAAAAAAAAAAAAAAAAAATTTATTATGATGGTTTCATTTATTTGCGACCTATGAATTCTGAGCTTATGAAAATCATGTTGAAGTTGAAATAAAATTTTTCTTCTTTGCAGGATAATACTTATGTGGACTTGAAATTTTATCTAAAAATCTACTTGAAATACTTTGATGTAAAGGTTAACTTCGGAAAATGGGTAATGCAGGAAGTACACACCGTCTAAATTTAGAGGATGTCAACAGTGAAATACATTCCTATTATAAGCAACAGCAGATGCGACGGGCATTGAAATGTCAACAGATTCTCCAAACTCGATGTGACAATGATAATAGAGGGCATTGGACGCATTCATTACCAAATCTGATCAATAATGATTCCGTGGCTACAGCTGATTTCGATCGTGATATTCTGGAATCGACAGCCACGCTGACGCCAAATTGTAAAGTGTTACCGCAACTAAATGAACGTCTCAAGCTACGCGCAACAGCAAACGGCACCATACTCTATTCAGGCGGAACCATTAGTGGGAAGCGCGAACAACCCCCTTCAACGGCCAAAACTCCAGCCATCTCACAAAAGCCACAGCCTCCGTCAGATTTAAAACAGCATTCTAGGAATTTTATAAACGATGATTTGAAACACAAGACTTGGAAGTACACGCAACCAATGCAACAAAAGTCAGAGGAGAATCATGCATCTCAATATCAACGACAGTCCATTCCAGCGTTTCGACGCTCGCAAACCCTTTTACATCTTCCCTATGGCACTAAAAAAACAGTAGACTCCATTAACGAAAGCGGGCCCAGTAAGAAGGAAAATAATTGGGGTACATCTAATACATCCACGACTACGGCTGCAACGTCAGTAGCTCAGAATATAAAGCATCATGCCCGAAAAGATAGTGCAGTACAGGAAAATATTGTAAAGTTAAATAAATACAATAAAAAGCGAAAAGCTCCTGCAGCACCGCCTTCTTCAGCTGTATCGGGTAGTTCAGTTGTAGATTGCTCGACAACTATAAAATGCCAGTTGAACACCAGTATTACCGCATCGAGTACTGCAGCAGAGTGTAATGAAACATATTCGGGGACAAATGAGTTGATAGCGAACGAGCGAATGGTCTTGGCGGATAAAGATGCACTAGAGAACAAACAAAAGCTAACCAAATCTAGATTGTTTCGATCTAACGCCAAAGTTTCACAGCTCAGGATGATTGGAAAATTGCAAGAACAACTTGTACAAACTCAGCAGCACCTTTTAGATACGTCATTAAAACTGTCACCCCAACGCCTTACACCGATTGCAGCATCAACAGCAAAGCCTGACAGCTACCTGCGAAGGGAGAAGAGTTCGGACGCTATTTTGCTACCGCATCGGAATGCGCAAACGAAAAAACCCGACATTCCGGCGACGGCAGCGAAGGCAAAGTTACCAACCACAATATCAACTGAATTGGACACAAACAATCAGAAACACATAATCCCTGAGCAAAAGTTGCCGCCCTCAAAGATACCGCAGTTGAATCGAACATTCCACTTCGGTATGGGTTTCAGTACTACAGAGCTTACAACTGGAGCTGCGACAAATATAGCTGAAAATGGAGGTAAGAAAGGTGAGCAATTGAAGGGGAACACTAAGCAATTGTGTAAAAAATCCGAATTAAGTGTAGATTCTGCAATAAACACGAAAAGATTTTCAGCAGATGTAGAACCTTCAGTGGCCTTAACAGCTGCACACGTGGTCAGTTACTATAAACTTCATACAGCCAGCGACGCCAAGCCTATTGTGGACAATGGTCTGTTTATTCAATTGCGGCCAAACCTACCGCGCCGGCAACCGAATACGCCGAGCTTTAGTCCAGTGGCAGCGTGGCGTACGTTGGTTGATGAACAGCATCGACAAGAGCAACAAAAGCTACAGAAAAACTGCGAAGTATATCATAAAATGAATAATAATAGCGGGTATAAAAACGAGAATGAGCAGAAGTCCGCATTGCTGCCTTACCTCACTTGTGGTGCTGCAGGTGAGGAGGGTAGTGCAGGAATTCTTGAACGTGTAGAGAAAGAAAGTGCTAGAAAACAAAAAGAAGCGCCCGCACAGTTAACATGCAATATAAGTAAACGTGGAGCTAATCAAGGACGCAATATTACGACATTTCTGACCACGTGGACGCCTCAACAAGACTTAGGAGATTATAACGATTGTGACTGTGACGAAGGTATAATGGATGATGTTGAAAATTCTGCGGATTATGCCCACGATGTTGTTATTCAGCACGCAAACGGTCCACAACAGAACACTGAGGGCGTTGAAGTAAGCGAGCATAATGGAAATTTAGAGGGAAAAGGAGAGGCACCAGCGGCTGGCCAAGGTCAAGGTAGTACTGTTGTCTCACCAGGTATGCATGTTTTCAGTTTGTCACTCCCACGTGATGTGCACACCCAATCACATCGCGAATTCTTGCATACGACAAACACATCATCAACTCTCCCCAAAGAGCCAGCACGTAGTGCGAATACTGTACCCATTAATGCCACTTCCAAAACAACTTTGCTGAAGCCTAAATGTTGCTGTTTCAAAAGTAGTAAGAGAGCTCAGCTGCAGGCCCTGCCGATAGCCGTTGATGGGACAGCAGAACTAGAAATCGTTTGCCCGCTGCATGGTGGAAGACTTAGTGGTATTGGCAGCGGTGGTCCCCTAATTTCTGTTAGCGATAACTGGGTGTTGCATAGAGCGAACAGCGCTGCAAGTAAACCTTTGACTGCTTGCCGAATTTCAGGCAATAAAAGTCATGGAAAATGGGATGCTGATGTAGAACCCATATCGTTAACGTATTTGACAGCAGGAAAACATGTTATGTATTTACCCGGTAAAGAGCGAAATAATACTACCGATTTTTGTGGCGATGACATAAGTGCTAGTAGCCGAGAAGTTCAACAGAACCAGTTAAAACAACAACGTCGCCAAAGGCCAATACGACAAAATTTGCATGATGTATCACCGGTGAGTAGTGCTTGAAAGACAAAAAAGTATTTTGAAAATATTCACACCTTCCCGGTTATTCAAATTATGTTTAGAAACAAGAAAACTCTCCATTCAATTCTCTCTGAGTATATGTAGTACGTTACGCTTTCAAATCGAAAATAATACCAAACATGGGCGTCGTTACCTAGGGGCAGGGGGCGGGCGGGCTGAAAGGTCGTTTAGCACAAAAAGGGCCGTTTTCTGAAGTAACCTTTAACTTTAAAGCTCACTTTATATTTAAAGTTTGGAATAAAAATAAAGCCATGTCTAAAGTTAATCATTTCTATTATCGGTTTTTGACGTAAGTATGTTTCTTTGTTGTAAATCAATTTAAAACCGATAATAATATGCTTTACTTTAGATACAATCAAAAATTGTAATGCAACCTCTAAATATAAAGTGAGCTTTAAAGTTACAGGTTACTTGAGAAAACGGCCCTAAGAAGGGTAAAAACTTGGCTGCGTTCCACAACGAGCAAAACTCGACTTGACGGTAATCATCTGCATATATATAATTGCTCAGTCTTACGACTTAGTTCCGGCGATCTGTAGCAGCCACAGAATTAAGCTGGTATTTACACATCAAATCAAAGTGCAAGCTGCAGCTGCAGGTGACCGTGTTTGTCACAAAAGTAAAAAGTGGCAGAAGTGAGCTGTGAGATGTATAATCTATTGAAAAATATTAGCTAATTTTCCGTGGAATTGAGATTCGGAAAAGGGATTAGGTATTATTCAGAGTTTCGAAATATATTTCACGAAAGCAGAAAATAACAGTAGTTGATATTACTTTCTTTTTTAAATATCACTGACTGATTATAAAGGACCCTGAATGACGGCAAAGCTCAAAGCTTTACAAATTTGTTGAAGTGATTTTTGAAATGAACGATCCAAAATTAGCGGATATGCATATTTAAAAATTTTTAGAATCAATGGTTGGATATTTGTATTGAAAGGGTTAAGAAAGCTTTAGTTTAAAAGTGTAATATTTACTAATTGCCTTTCACCATAAACGGCGCCAATTTTCAGTTATTATTGCCTTTCAGATAACGGCTAATAAAGCCCTTTGACAGATTTTATGCAAGGTTGGACTTTACCTTAAAGATGACTGTTTTCTCACGGCCCACTGTACGAGGGTTTGAGTAGAGTAAGGCCCTTTAAGGATTTAAAAATTATCCTAAGTTATCAGGTTTCTAGCAGTACAAGATTAATTGTTGTCTTAATATTAGTAAGTATTTCTTTACTGTAATCATCTGAATTTCAGGATTACTACTAGTGTTAATAAATCGTCAGTTTAATTTCTTATAAAATTTACCTTTATGTTTATGAATCTTAAGCATACATCGAAAATTAGGTTTAGAGAATCAATGTGAAATAAATGCAGAAACGATTAACCGATTTGGTAACCGAGACGTCTGCTTGTAAAACAAATCGGAAAGTACATATATACTCCCCCGCATGCCAGAAACATGAATGTACAACAATAGGCGCGTTCATAAAACATAGCTGTTTAGCTCAACTGCTACGAAGCTGCTGGCAAATGTTGATCTCAACAATTACGTCTTGGAAACGGCTTGATGAATATGCTGTCAAATGAACACCAGATAAATGTAAACAAATGAAATTTCAATAAATAGAGATAGTTGCGCCGATAGTATTTCCAATTCAACGCTGAGCTGCCGCTGTGCTGAAAAAAATCATTGAATGTTATTATGAATTAAACAGTGTATAATTATAAAGCAAACATCTTAATAAACGTAAATTTAGAAACGTAGTATTCAGGGCAATCAATGAATCCATCGAAGGTTCGATTTTCGTGAAATCTACGAAATTGCAATCACTGAATCCGAATGGCAATGAACGTAAATTCGAAATTCGTAGAGAGTCTTCATTGAATCCGTTCGTAATGAAGATGCGTACAGATACTCTACGAGAACTTATACTGTCGGAACAAAATTTAATATCGCTGAATCTTAAAAATTATGAAAAAAAAGATGCGTTATTGTTAATAATAAAGATTTATTATACTCCAAATATATTATAGTTTGATATAATTCCGTATATTTGTGTAAATGTAGACGTAAAATACAAATTAATTAAAACCAAAATTTTGAAAACGCTTTAAACGAACTCTCTAATAAATTACACACGTCTAGTGTCGTTGGTAGTCAATCTGATTCTGATTCTTTTATTCAATGCCAAAATGGTGATTACCCACGCTCTTAACAAAACAAAACTCTTAAGGTATAGACACATAACTTAAGGTGTAAACACAATTGCAAAATAGTTTAAGGGCTAGGTTCACATCGTATTTGTTAGTCAACGTGCATACATGCTTAATGCTTACAACTCGGCCATCCTGACGACTAGATTCTCCTGATTCTACGCCAATTACATATTTAGAGCACTATCTATCCTCGCTCGGTCTTGGAGATGAACGTTGCGGCAACTCAATCGTACGAAACGCCTTCACCAAGTTGCTTGTTGTCGAAAAATTTTGTAGTTCGTCTGGACCTGTAACTGCTTTTCTAGGATGCCATCGATTATATACTCGACTAGCTCCCCGTCGCCGAGGCTCAAACCGCTGCTTAGCAAACACTTTTCGTTAAAGTAGTTTGCAAACGACTCTTCGTAACTCCAGGTATGTTTTTCAAAACGGCGTCGCGTAACCGGGAGATTATCGCTACGTGCAAATATTGTAGCCATCTCCCTCAGCACAAGGCCCAGACTCCTCAGAAACATTTTGTTGGTATTATACCAAGTTGTAGCCACACCTTTCAATTTCAGCTGTACCACCAAAGCAAGCGTTTCTTTGTCTACCTTAAGGTCTTCTTGCAGGTGCACTTGCGTACGCCACATCTCGAAATTTTCGCCGCCGTCATAATCTGATAATAGTTGCTTTACTGTATCGAAGGAGAATTCCTTAGTGACAGTGTGCGTCTTTTTTTGTTCTTCTATCGACAGCTTCAGCCTCAATATTTAAATTTCTTTTTCTAGCAACTTAACTTTAAGACTCTCGGACTAGACATTGGCCACACTGTTAAACAATCGACGCCGGTCATCTACTTCACGGCTTGTGTGCATTTGTACACCAAACTGCCCATCTATATTGTAGTTTGCATTTCTGTCTGAATCGTTGTCCGCTATGTTGACCATTACATTGTCCGCTACAATTTCCGCTTCGTTTACCGCTGCATTTACCGCTACATTGTCCACTGCATTTGCACCTTCATCGTGTACCTCACTGCTTATTTCGTCACGCCTTCCAGCAGCGTTGTCATTGGCTTCGTCAGTTAAATCCACTGGTTCGTTACCTGGGCACAATCCGCGTGCCTCTGCTGACAACTGACTTAGCCTTGCTGCTAGTGACGCCTTTGCACCACTTGCGTTTACGCCAACGGCTGCGCACCACGCCTTTAATTAGAGGAGTCTATACTTTTCTGCACTCACGACGTCGTCTCCCATTTTAAACCGCGCGAAAATTTGTATTACAGAAAAAAAACTATGTACGTTGGAGTGGCTTCGACGACCACTTCTGATAAAAACGCTTTAAACGAACTCTCTCATAAATTACACACGTCTAGTGTGGTTGGTAGTCAATCTGATTCTGATTCTTTTATTCAATGCCAAAATGGTGGTTACCCACGCTCTTAACAAAACAACCAAATCTTAAGACACATAACTTAAGGTGTAAATACAATTGCAAAATAGCTTAAGGGCTAGTTACACATCGTATTTGTTAGTCAACGTGCATACATGCTTATGCTTACAATATTTTTCTATTTTATTGTGGCTTATTAAAATTTTTATTGAGCTTTGTACCCCGATTTTGTTTAATAGGCAAAAATTGAAAAAAGCAACAAAGTCTAAGCGGTAGACGTTATACCTGCTAATTCGGAGATCACCACATGTATGTATAGTTTCAGGCAGGCTCATCCTAAGCTATGTATTTGTCAATTTTATTGTAGCTTATTAACATTTTTATTTTAATATTTTTATTGAGCTTTGTACAACGATTTTGTTTATTAGGGAAAAATTTAAAAAGCAACAAAGTCTAAGCGATAGAAGTTATAGCAGCTATTTCGGAGATCACCACATCTCCACATCAGACTTATTTTTTCTAGACTTCCGCAGGGATCGAACCCGCATCAAATCAGCTGCACTTGATGGTAGTAGGTTGAATAAGGGAATGAATTAGCAACAAGAGCTTACGGGGTGTGCATAGCTCAGTGGTTAGCGCTTTTGACTTTACACATCGATGATGCGGGTTCGAACCCTGCGGAAGTCTAGAAAAAGAAGTCTGATGAGGAGATGTGGTGATCTCCGAATTAGCTGCTATAACTTCTATCGCTTAGACTTTGTTGCTTTTTAAATTGTTCCTTAGTAAACAAAATCGACAAAAATATTACAATAAAAATGTTAATAAGCTACAATAAAATTGACAAACACATAGCTTAGGATGAGCCTGCCTGAAACTATACATACTGAAAAACCCTGGCGACTTGGTGGATATAAACTCAATAAGCGCACCAGTGTTTTTTATTAAAAAACAAGAAAACAAAAGCACCAAGTTTTAGTATAACATAAAATTGTGTTTGGCGGTTTACTTAATATGCATATCAAAATTCAAATTAGGTTACAATGTTACCTTTGCTAAGATGTGGTATGGTAGCGGAATGTCCGTACTCGCTGGTGATTAAAATCCAATAGAAAGTTTTAAGATTAAAAAACTGAAGTCGAACCCTCAAAACGGTTTGAAGAAATTCCGTTTTCAGGGGAAATTGAACGAAAGAGCACTGACGGGAAAAGTGCAGTTTTTCTTCTTATTTCGTTATAATTTCTTTCTTTTCGTTATAATTGTAGCGAGTGTGAACATCAGGAGCGTGCTTTCTCTTTTGCCCAAATACGTTTTTAGATTGGATGAAAAGAGAAGGCACGCTCCTGATTTTCACACTCGCTACAATTATAACGTGTTGTCTCCTC